GTGCGTGTGTGTGTGTGTGTGTGTGTGTGTGTGTGTGTGTGTGTGTGTGTGTGTGGGTAGGGCTAACGGTCAGACATTCATTTATTGTTGTGCCTTTGTTGCAGCTGAGCCTCAACTGAGGCAGTCGTCTCCTTCAAGGGTAGTTAAACCAGTGGGACAAGATGAAGTGAAGCTGATCTGTGACGTGAAGAATGCTCAAAATTATACTTGGTATAAGTTCGATAGAAAGATTCATCTGCCCTCTCTTCGATACTTTGTGAAAGCTCCGAGTTATTTGCAAATAACGGACGTTGTGAAATCGGACAGTGGAACGTTTGTTTGCGTGGCTTCTAATGATTATGGAAGAGTAAACTGTACAGTGAGGCTGATTGTTGAAGGTAAGAGTTTTTTAATGAATTTGACAGAAAATTTAAAATTTGACTTTTGAAATTTAATTGTTCCAGTGTTGAATGGGGAAGGAAAAAGAGATGGGGAGGGAGATAATAATAATCATTGATAATCATAAAATCTGTAAACTTAAGCTTATACTCCGACTAATTTTAAAAAAAGGAACCAAAGGAATGGTTTAGTCAAGGAAAATAACTTTAAGTTGTCAAACCCTTCATCTACTTCGGTGAGTTGTTAAAGGATGGGAAAGATTCAGTTGCCGCCATTCTTCCTGTGTTTTAAAAAGAAAGCGTCCGCCGCATTGTTAACGAATGTACTACATATACATGGCTCAAAGTCGGCATAACGAACATCGTCTGACTTCCACATAAGTAGAAAACATCCCAATCCACTTGTTACATGTTTGGTTTTAATAAAGTAATTAAATTATACTCAACCAAATTTCCGAAAACACAAAACCAGGCTAGCCTGAAGGTGGGTCTAAACCAAACCGTTCTAGAGCAACTGAAATTATTACCAAGGGTGCGTTTTGAGAATAAACGTACAGTGGGTACTCGGAAAGCTCATAAAGCACCCACCTTCGGCTCGTGATTTATTAGCTTTCCTCGTGTTCTCCAAACATCCCGCGTGGTTTTATCACGTTAGAGAGCCCTGAAAAAATGTGTTAAATTTATTTTTGCGAGTGTCACAATACAAAAAGCTCATCCAATATCAGCCGAGCCGACAATGATCAACATAACACCATGCTGAAGTTCGTTAAAAATCGCAAAGCGTCTTCGGATCCTTAAAATAGCCAGTCAAACAAACTTCCGCAATTTCTCAAGGTAAACGCCATGTTTTCCTTGTAAAACTTACTACCCGTCCGCACAGAAGCTATCCGCTGACAATTTTCAGTGAGATTGTTTTGCAAGTTGTGAGAGCATCGTTTCGAGTTCAATTAGAGAATGTATGGGAAGTTACCTCCCCCCCCTCTGATCCAATCCCTCCCCCCCTCCTTCGGTCCAATATTTACTTGGTCAGTATTTACAAAAATATGTTTTTCTTTTATCTAAGATCCAGCAAGTTCATCTACAAATGTCTCAGGAGGTACAGTTCCTTGATCATTTGTTAAATTTTATAACTCAGTAATATGGTATCAATCTGATCAACCCCATGTTTTTTTAAGACACTTTGCTGCAGACATTTCTTTAAAAAATTCATGGTAAAGTTTTCTCTTCTTAATGATAGGGATTTTTTTTTTCAAAATTATTTTCTAAAGGTCATTTTGTCAGTAGAATCTAAAAAGGTGGTCAAACTTATGATTTAATTTCACTTTTTAAAGAAAAGAATGAATATTTCTTCGGGTATGAGGCATACTTCTCCCTTAAAGGCTGAGTGGCAGAAATTTTCAGAACCAATCGTTGATTGTAGATTGTAATAGTATAATAGATTGTAATAAGAATCTGATCGATTTTTGGTTAGGAGACCAGTATAAAATTAAGATCTTCTATATGAACGACTAGATTGAAAAACCCTCACGTCAGTAATCCAAGTGTCGCTGTTGAATGTTAACGATCTATCACGCCGGTCCCATGTCACTGCACTGTAGTTTTATTGGGTCCAGTCCTGCGTTTTTCCTACATCGTAAACCTCAGTAACCAAGCGAAGGCTTCACCCCCTTTTATTTTTATACATTTTTATGTCACTTTTTACAGCCAAGAAGCCCCAGTTTCTGTACCCAGACCGAATGGCGATGATCAATTCACAGTATACGAGGGGAGATAAGTTTCAACTAATATGTGACGCCATAGGAACTCCAGTTCCGACGGTCACGTGGTACAAGGGTAAATATATTTATCTTGGGCATGGATCGGACGAGACGATAACACCGGAGCGTTACGACTATGTAATAACTTTCAACAAGGTGGATATTATGGATAGAGGAAATTACACATGCGTTGTGAAAAACGCATATGGTCATTTGACTCATTCATACGTCTTCGACGTTCAGGGTAAGTGGTGTGAAATAGTGGATATTTTGAATAGAAAATTACACGTTGTGTTATAAATTGCCTGTTAAGAGCTACTCTTTTTCAAGACCGCGTGAGAGTTGGCACATCGACCGAACAAGTTTATTAAAAGTGTTATTCTCTATTACAATCAACTCTATTAGCTCTTTTAGGTAAATGTCACTATTACGATCAACTCCACATGAGATCCCCGCTGCTAAGTTAACAAGTTTCACAGCAATGACTAACTGATAAGAAGTATTATCATATAAACAAGTTTTTTTAAAAACGCTATTCATCGATATTCGTGGCCGTAAAATTACAAGATGGGAACAAGATTGAAATAATTTTAGCCTTGCGTGACAAATGCTTAAGTGTGTCACATCTACACACAGATAGCTTCCCGTCTTCAATGTCTTCGGCAAAGAATATTTGACCTGCCGTTAGAAATGATTGAATTGGCCTCTTTCAAGTCCACAATGAAGCTCAAGTTTACCCCAGAACTTTCTTAAGACTTATAGGTGTTCGAATACCCAAAGAAAAACAGACGCTCTCCGCGAGCTTAAGGAATGTGTTATTGAAAATAATTCCGCCATGGGAAATGGATGAGAATTTGAAACGAAAGCAGAGATAAAAACCAATCTGGCGTGGTTAGCTATGCAAGGCTAGCTTACTGTATTGATTTCCTGATCGATCACAGTGCTAACTTATAAAATGTGCTTGGAATTCCGGATTTAACCACGGGGTGCCTAATTAGATTATGTCGTGACGTAAATGACGATTTTTGCGTTCTTCACAAAGTTCAGCCTGGTTTTTCCGTGTGGAAAGGAAAAGCCGCAAATTAAAATTTTATATCCTCGAAAACAACACTGTTTCCACTTATCATGAGCTTAACCTGAACCGATCCTGAGTTATACCGCATGGTGAAAATGATAATTGAAAATGTGCTACAAAATGCGATACAGTTTATATTTTGAAATATTGGTGATTTTTAAAAGCGTTCCGTGATGTCAAAATTAAATGAAACGGTCCCGTTTTAGACTTAAACCATACCTCAATCCCTCCCACATTTTTCAAATTGATGCGAGCTCGCTTTCTTTTGCGCTTTTCATGGGCAAAGTTCATTTGCCTCTACTCGGGGCACTTATTTCCGCCATTTTACGGCTACCGACGCTCGTTTCAGTTTTGGTGAATTTTCTAAAATAAAGAAGCAAGTCTGAGGAAAAAAACCATGCCACGTTTCTAAGCTCACTATAAGGTTTCTGTGTGCAAAATATGAAGATTTTCAATTTTTCGATCATGCGCCACATTTTTCGATTTTCACTCGGTCAATTCAAACATTCGCTCTTAAATAGTTATCAAGCTTAATGATTCTCAGGTTTTGAATATCGTTGGCATTCCTACGATCTGCTATAAAACTCCGATATCTCCTAACTCCTATTATGAGACTGTAGCTAGCAAAACCCACATTAGCAGTGATCAGCCGTTGATATATAGCAAAGAGGTAGCAAGGGGCGTATAAGATTCCCGTCGCTGCATTAGCAATCTTTTTAAAAGGAGAAATGTTTCCTTTAAAAATTTTACTTAAATTTTTTTAAAATAAAACTCCCGTGGTCATTTGACCATAAAAACCGAGTATTTGTAATTTTCCTTCATCCTTTCAAACTTGTACCACATGTCGGAAACCCAAAGACGTAAAATCGCAAAATCGAAGTGTCGGGATAGATTCATACCAGAACCACACCTAATAAACATCCTTGAATTTATATCAATCTTGAACCTTTTTGCAGTCGCAAGTTTGCAAGAATTGACCGGAGTTTATGAAACTCAATGAGAGTGACTGCCAGTAGACTGTTCCTTTAATTGGTTTGTCAATTCATAGCAAGCACGCTCAAGTCGCGACCTAGCCCCTCTGAGTGACTAAACTCTATGCTTAAGGGGCTCAAAGATTAGTTGAAAATTCAGTCGAAAAGACAAATATAGATTTACTTTTAAACGATTCAGTTCCTTGCAGGCCAACCCTGGTTGGAGCAAAGCTATTGATGACACCAAGGTCTCTCCTTGACTGTTTGTTTACGTTTATCAGACATTTACTCATTACTGTCTCTTTTACAGAGAAAATTGAAAGTCCTCTTCTCTATTTACATATTTGGAAACAGGAAGAATCTATTCAGTACGCTGGAACCGATTTGCAGCTACACTGCGTTGCCTTGTCCAAGGATAATAAGACCAAATTACGTTGGTATTTTAGCAATAGTACAAGCAACCCAAGCACTTTAATAAACCGTACTTTGTTTGAAAGTCATCAGAAGACAACATCCAATGGAGATGGTTCGTGGCTAATATTCCATGACCTGAATTTGAAACATATTTCTGTGGCTGATTCGGGTTCATATTCTTGCAAGGCTGAAAATGTCGTTGGAAATGTTGAACGTCAGACCTATCTGAATGTTACTACAAGTCGCATTGCACCATCTCAACCAGGTAAGAAATGATTAAGCAAACTTGCAGGGCAATAGAATTAAGTTATACTAGAAACTTACTGGAAGACTCTGTCAAAAGGGTTAGGAAGCGACAAGGGATAGATTGATTCCAAATACCAATATTCATTGGGATAAATGGTGACTTAGAGGTTCGTGTGCACTGGCCTCCGGGTCGGTGGTGGTACTGGAGAACGACATCACTAGTATCATGTTGGGGATGCAACACCAATCAATACAGAAGTTATGGGATAGGAGAATATACAATTTGTGCTGTACTTGATTACGTGGTCTCGAGGCGTGGACTATCGCAGTATCATATTAACTGAAATAAGGAAAATTCCTTTAAAAAAAGTAGTTATTATTTCATTTGCAACCTTTGATATAACAAGCTGTGCATGTTATCAGAGTTGGTCTTGACTTGATTATTTCCCCAAACTTTCAGCCCCTTTTGGTTGCGACCTCAACAGATCAATGTGCAGTTCTATGCCTTACAAGATTGATGAGTTCAGTTCGACGAATGAACATGGGAGCACTTTTTCTCCAGACAAGGATCATTCCTTTTATTACATTGGAAACGGTATGGAAAACGTCGAAACATTTTATTGTGATGAACATGAAATTAGTATATGTGAACTTCTTTAGAAAAATAACGCTTACGGGAAGAATGAGACAATTAAATAAACTGAATGAAGTCTGCTAATCTAGTCCCTGGACATTTTCAAACGCTAAATATTGTTGAAGCTACAGGAAACTATTGGTGTATTAAGCATCGACTGTCACACTCGTCTTCGTTTTAGTGAATAACTACAATTCCTTAGGGAATAACGTTCTTCGATGTCATCATATAATGTTTCTCTTTTTGTGGATATCACCCTTAAAAGGTTTGGACCAACACATACAGTTGGGAATTTAGGCGCCGGGCTCTTTCGCGTCCGCAATGGCATTCGAAAGTGACATTTACTTCCGATTGAAGCTTTGAATTTTTTTCTGCAATGTCAAAGTAGAGCCAATATGAATAAAAACTTTGTATTGCAATGCTTTGAGACCAAATATGGAAATTAAAAGCGATACAGGAATGACTCGGATATAATGACTCGGATATAATGACTCGGATATAATGACTCGGATATAATGACTCGGATAGAGGATTCTGAGGAGTGGCCTTCTCCTCCAACTCCGAATTGATATCAAGAAAACATCAGCTGATATCATAAAAATAATGCTTTCAGTTTTATCTTGAATTTTTAAGGTTAGTTTTATTCTGACTTCTACCGTTCATGATGTCATTCACGATAAACTAACACTCCAACGTATGTTGTTTATCAGAAGAAAAGACTAGTGATGTTCTTGTCCCTGGAATTGTCTCAGCATGT